TATATATATATATATATATATATATATATTATTATTATAATTATAACTCAATATTATTTTGTAACAAAGCACTTTCAGAATATAGAATAGATAGATAGAAACGAATTCATAGTTTTACACCCACGCATGCAATTAACCTTATTAGAAACCAACTTATTTCCATTATTGCGTACTGAATTAGCAACACACATCTGTCGTGTCGAGAATAAATGGTCTGTAACATTACGCATATAGTCAGTGAAAGTTGCAATATTCTACGCTACCTGTCGTAATAGCACACAAACTTCTCTTCGCACGTGTCAGCCACCGCTGCTATAGTCGTTACCACCTGCTCCAACACCAACTTTGTACCTGTCTCGACCAACTGAAATGCAGGAAACACGTGAGAAGAATCAGCGATGTGATTGTACACTATCGTATCTTACAAATACACATTTTCTAGATGAACATATTCTTGCCAAAATATGATTCCAATGCTTTAAATGCACACCAACCGTTAATACTAGTCAATGCTAATTCATAGCCAATTTGTGTGTTGCCATTCATATTTTTGTCTGGCTTTTGCTTTATTAGTTACTAGTAGGGTAGAGGCAAGTAGTTTACCAAAGGGCACAAGACAACATGATTTTGTCTGTGCTGCTTTCCCTAGAGATTCAACTTGTATATAAGCTATGTACTACACCTATCCACTACCATCTAATGTAGCCCTACTAATCTAATGTATCTAATGTATATACTATCAAATGTACTACACCTACACCTATCCATTGCTTCATGTTGAATTGACAATGAAAAATCAGCAAATGGAACCATCACTAGTCGGGCACACTACCCGATTCCTTTGTAACTGTAACAGCTGTTTGTTCACGTAGCCAGAGACTAATTAATATAAGACTTAGCAGTGAGCCTGACATGACGCATCTTTTGTATCTAGCAGTTTGACACATCAGTGTGAATGTGTTGTACCAGAATGCAGGGTTATGGCTCAAATGTGTGAGAGTCTGGTTGTGGTCGCGCGAGACGCGCGTGTGCTCGTTTCTTTGTCACTGTGTGCAAGGAGGTGTGACTATACATGAGCAGATATTAAAGTTATTCTATTCAGTTTACTACACAAGTTTGGATTTCTTCATCATTTATACATCAAACGTACTTCAACGTTACATTTTGGAGCCAGTGACCTGTCCAAAACCTGGGTATTCCTTTGCGGATGCAACGTAAGGTACTCCACTATGTCGATCTACGGGCCAGTGATTCAACAACGAAACAAGAGAAAGAGAGAGATGAGAACAACAGCAAGTGTAGGAGAAACGAAGAACGATGGAGAGCGATCGAGAGAGACGAAGAATGACGGAGAGCAAGAGAGAGAGGGACGGAAAGAGCGAGATGCGGGAGAGAGAACGGTGGATACACACGCCGTAAGACCTACTGTGAGTAAGTCAGCGTGAAGGAAGGAAGGGCCGGTGTTGTATCCGTGATACTGCGAGGGCAAGTCCTAGTCTTGACCTGTGTGAGAGAGAGAGGAAAGCAGAACAGAGAAGGCAAGGCTGACAGAGCAGTGACAGAGGACGTGAAAAATATATTGCGAACTGTAATGGCTAAAAAAAAAATCCAGGAAATTCTAGAATTTAATTGATGGAAAGCTTCAATCTCGTGCCGGCGAAACTGGACATGAAAGTGTGACATCATCAGGAATGTGTATTTTTATCTGTTTTTCTGTTTTTTTCATGGTAGATGCTTGTGACAATTTGTCTTTGCGTGGGGAAATCTTTTGTGTCAAACTTTGTGTAGAAATGTGTGATCGTTTTCTTGAATTTATGGTAATGGTACATTTACGCTATATTGTCAGACGGTTAAACACATTCTTCAATTAGAGTTTGATATGCCAAAAACTTTTAATCGAAAATATGAAATGTTTTGCGTATTTTTTTGGCTGTATGATGTGTGGAAGTGACAAAGGTTGTCAGGTCCACATCGGTGCTGTGTGTAATAATGGGATTAAGAGGTTTAAATGAGGATTATGAACATGATATATAACGGAGCACATGGCTGGATGTATTTACACGTGGTTTCGGTAATGCGTGTCAGTATACGCATACGCCACGCAGGGTGCGAAATTAACGGCAGTCCGGAGTCAAATACTCCCTGATTTCCTGCCGGACTCCCCGATTTGACATATGCAGGAGTCCGTGTGACTCCATGAAAATTCTGCCATACTAACTAGTTAGTTCCAGAGCACGACCTCGCGGAATTACCATATTTTTTCAGCAAATGTCCCAAGAAAATTTTGCAGACGTGCAACCGCATGAATCTTCAAAATAAGCACATGCGTTATTGTTAATATCTTTAATTTTGACTTTCGGACTGTGGACTCCCTCATTTTGCCACGGACTCCCTCTTTTTGAGGGCAGGAAGTCCGTTGGACTCCCTTGTTCAAATGTTAATTTCTACCCCTGGCCACGTACGTTACAGCCTAAAAAGACGCAAGAGTGAGAGTAATTGCAGCGATATCAAAATGTTCACTGCCAAATGTGTTAAATTTCTGACTAGTATGGTGATCGAACTTTATCGTTACTTGTTTTGTAATAGTAGACTATAAATATAGTTAATGATTCAGTAAAATTGAAAATATAGTTTAGATCCGCCAGGAGTCCGAAATCACGATGGAGCATCGTGTTATGAAAAGAGGGAGAAATGTAACAGCCGTTTGTTCACGTAGCCAGAGACTATTATTTTAGCAGTGAGCGTGACGCGACGCATCTTTTGTATCTAGCAGTTTGACACATCAGTGTGAATGTGTTGTACCAGAATGCAGGGTTATGGCTAAAATGTGGGAGTCTGGTTGCGGTCGCGTGAGTAAGCATACGCGCTTACGCGCGTGTGTGCGCGTTTCTTTGTCTCTGTGTGCAAGGAGATGTAACTATACGTGAGCAGATATTAAAGTTATTCAGTTTACTACACAAGTTTGGATTTCTTCATCATTTATACATCAAACATACATCAACGTTACATAACAACAAAAACGTCTAACACTCCCTCGATTATTCTTACCTCTTTGAATTTCGTTGTGAGGATGAACTCTAATTTACTCATAATGGTGTCTAGGTAGGCAGCTAGGATCGTCTTGGGACAGTCTTCGGCGAAGTTAACGAGGGCGGCACCGGCGTGAGCTTGCACGCGTGGATTCGCATGGTCGTCCATCACCATCAGCAAGCCAGGTATCACCTGTTCATTACAAGCTCCGAGATGTCAGAAAAACCGACTATGGTAATTCCTACGTTCGTGTGCAATAACTGCGTACTAAATACATGTGGAAGAAAATGTTGCGCGCAATTTGTTTAGAAAGGGAAGCCCAGGGTCGAAACTTTATATACACGCGACAGAACTTCCGGGAGTGTGATATCTCCCTAGTAAAAAAAAAGTATGTGATCCTGGTCCACAAACTGTGCAGAAACAGATGGTTGCAGTGTCTGTCTTGTAGCATATACGCACACCTATTCAACACACGCACAAGGAGAATGGCGATTAATTATGAAATTAGCAGACTGACACTGTACCTTATCGTGGAACTTCTTTTCAAAGATTGGAGCGAAGTCGGTTGACATTTGACCGATGGCGTTGCACGCTGCATAACGCACTCGTGGATGCTGCAAGAAATACACACAAAGCCTCAGAAACCACCCTTGTCAGTGTCAGAAACCGCATTACAGCATCGCAACTTCCCTGAATACACACGAACTGTAGTGACTTGTATAAGACAAAAGTCTAGTTTTAGGACCAATACCATTTTGACTGTCTTCCAGGATTTCTAGGCACTCTCCAAGGCCATCAATAATAAATTAATACCTGTATCATCACTAAACGCAACTACACATCTACTGCTAGCACCCAAGCAGTTTTCACATGCAACAAAACGTGCAGTATTCACGCTATGATACACAACACCCTTTGGAGCAAGACCCCGGGTCACTCGCAGCGCCCCATACACCCCAGGACATTCCCAGCTCCGCCTACCACCTGTGTCGCTCACGGCGCCCCCTACCCACCAGATTGCTCCCGGCGCCCCCTACCCACTGGATCGTTTGCGGCGCTCCCTACCTGTAGGGACCCGTCCCCTACCCACCGATTTCTCGCGCGCCCCTTACCACCGGATCGCTCGCGGCGCCCCCTACCCACCGGATTGCTCGCGGCGCCCCCTACCCACCGGTCGCTTGACGCGCTCCCGACCGCTGCCAGCGCCCCGCCTACCACCGGATTCTCCGAGCGCCCCCTACCCACCACGGTATGCTCGGCGGCCCCTACCACCGATTGCTCGCGCACCCCCTACCCCCACCGGATCGCGTCGTGCGCCCCCTACCCGCACCGGATGCAGCCTCGTGGCGCCCCCTACCCACCGGAATTGCTCCGCGGCGCCCCCTTACCACTCAGCTCCGCTTGCAGCTCCCCTATCACGGAATTGCTCGGGCGCCCCCTACCCATCCCGATCGCTCGTGGCGCCCCTACCCTCCGACTGCTCTGTGGCGGCCCCTTGCCGAACCCGCTCGGCTAGCAGCTCCACCTATCCACACGATCCCTGTCGCTGCGGCGCTCCCTCCACTCGAATCGGCTCACTAGCCGGCCCCCTACCCACCGGGTCCTGCAGGAACGGCAGCACGCCCTCCATGATGTTGGCAGCAGCCGCCTCCGATCTGCTCTGTGCTTCCCTCGCCGACGGCCGAGATGGCCATCAGCGCCGCGTGCCGGTAGCGCCAGTCCGGGTTCTGCAGCAGTCGCGGGCAGCGCGCTACGACGACCGTGCGGCAAGCACGTCTGCGCGCCGTGCGCAGCAAAGACCGGTCGAAGCGCGCTCTCCCCGCGACGGCGTTCGCGTCCAGCGCGTCGTCCGACGGCTGTCGTCGCGCACGATCCGTCTACGTGCCGGCGCCTAGGCCCGCCGTCCCGTCCTCCGTCGTCCGTCGTCGTCCGTCGAGGTCGACCATGAGCGCGACACGAGCGCCACGAGCGCGGCGACGAAGCGGCGTGCCGACGCAGCATGGCCGCGCCGTCTCACATCGTCAGAATCACCGCTCGAGCAGCGGAGGTGGCGCCAGGCACGTGTCGGCGAGCGTCGCGTCGCGCGACCGACCCTTCAGACAGAGTTCGATGAGCGGCTCGAGCTGCGCGCGCAGGAACTTGGGGCAACGACATTCGGACGTAGGTGCGATCAAGGCATCTTCAAGCGCCGCCGCTCACTTCTCCTGTTTCTCGCAGATCGACGGCGACGCCCCAGCAAGATTGCACGTAACTCTGGTTGAACACACTTAATATCATTATTAATATTAGTCTTTACATTTTCAAAATTAATATTTAATAATATAATTAATTTAAAATAAAATTAACAAATTAATATTAGTATTAGTACTCTTATATTATTATTAGTAGTAGTAGTATTTCGTAGTATTTAGTAGTAGTAATAGCAGTAGCACCAGCAACAACAGTATTCTTCTTATTATGATTATTGTTATTATTACTATATTATTATTAAATATATTATATTATTATTATTATTATTATTATTATTATTATTATTACTATCCTACATTAACCACTGCTTTGAATGTGTTCCCTTCCCAAGAATCTCATGTTGTGTAGGAATTCTCTTTGTCCCACATCAAAAACATTTTTATAGAACTTAAATTAAAAGAAAATACAAATAAGATAAAAAAATAGAAGTAAGAAAAGCATGTATAATCGTACATTCCAACCTCAGAAAAATCTCAAAATGCGACTCTTTCAGCTGCAGGCATTTTTAATAAAAATAATTCCAATAAGCCCAACCTGTACCCTTCTCAGAAAATCCTATGCTGAGTGTTCTCTTTGATCCAAAAAAAGAATGCTTTTCAGAAAAAAGCTTGCTGATGGACCGGGCATTGCCATGCAAGTTCACAGGCAGAAGTTAAGCATTTTTTATCAAGGGCGATGTGAGTGTTGTACATGCCGCACTGCGTATGAATCCCTACTGCTCCCACTTCGCTTGAGACTGCAGGGGACAGATTGATCATTGAGTGAAAATTACGTAAAATTGTTATTCGAAAATAAAAATGCTTAGCAAACTGGTAATTTTGATCAGCAAAATTATTCGTAAATGCAACGCACAAACTGCCTTAAGTTTCACAAGTCAATTACGTGTGGAAGTTTTTTTTAAGATTAACCAAGATTCACTGGTGTGCTTGATTTGCACTAGATTAAAATGACTAACAAACGGTGACGCAATACGTGTAAATAGTACCCTGGACTGCGAATAACGGTATGCAAGTCTGCACTGGGTCAGAATGAAATTCCAAATTCTCTGAGAATACGATTTCTTGAAATTTCCATCCATCCTAAACCACGATCGCCGGTTCGACTGCATCACCACGTGGGCTACGCGGCGAAAGGAAATAGGTGGCTTACCGATAGGAGTCCGGGAAGACAGTCAACGAAGTGCCGCTGAACACCAGGTTCCTTGTCGTGTGCCAGCAAGAATGCAGTCGTTGCTTTTACGGCTGCTAGTCTCACCTACCCAACAAACAACACAAGTACAATCTTAATGTTGCCAACGCGCACCAGCGCAAGCAAGCGCATGCAAGCACGCACGCACGCACTAATGACGACTTGAATGTTTACCAATCTGGATGCATTCAATATTAACTGTAGGAAGAATAATTTCTTTAAAATCCTTGATCCTTCTACAACATAGCTTTTAAGCCTTTTGCCACCGATGATTTCAAGCAGCGTTGTATTAATTTTCTATGGTAATTATGGTGTTACCTTTCATATTGGGTTTTATGTAGCCAACAATTTCTAACTGTTCAATAGCATCATACGATCGAGTGAAAACCAGGTAAAATGTGACAACACATTTGCTCGTATATTAGGGTCCTAAATGATTAACGAATGCATCGATTGCAGCTGCATTTATCACACTAACCCACCTGTGGATTTTCTGTATCACCCAAGCACTGAAGTAGCATCTGACGTATGACATCCATGTAATGCTGTTGCTGGTTAGCGAATATTCCTGGTGTTACACTGTGAAAGACATACGACACCTTACGCCACTGCATTTGATCACACTAACCAGTTTGCCATACATTGTCCATACTAGTTCCGCTTTTTTCGTACATTGGTAATCACTTACATACAACTCAAAATTTCAGCTCCTAACCAGATTACTACACATTGGAATACGACACTAAATTTAATCACAGAACATGCACAAATTCAAAATAAACCGTATACTTATTACCTCCGCGCAACGTAGTTGCAGGGAGGTAATGTAATCACTCTCATGTGTGTGTTCGTGTGTGTTTGTGTGTGTGTTCGTGTGTGTT